TCTATCCTGATAAGAACCTACTAATCAAATCAGGGGTTCTTTATGTATTTCTATAAGTAATAGGATCTTTATCGAGCTATGCTACCTATATACGAGTATGTATGTATGCATTTATGTAAATATATATATATATATATATTTATTAACAGGAGTGAATCACATCAACATCAACAGCCTTTACTAGTCCACTGCTGGACATAGGCCTCTCCTTAGAAGGCAGGTTTTGGCCTACTATACCACCATCTCCAGACGGGTTGGTATAGGGTTTTGCTTTGTAGTTTTCCTTCTCTTTTTGCAGTGCCGTTTTTATGGATTACCTCAAACGCGTTAGATACCTTTAGTCGGATAGAATATTTTTTTTTTAAAGTGAGATTGATGACCCGGGTTTTTAAAATTTTTATCGCTAGATAATAGCGTCAGAAATAACATTCTAAGTTTAAAGGCCAATCCGAGGTCAGACAGGCGGTCAAAAAAAAAGGCAAAAATCGTAAAAATCGTTTTATTTTGCGTTTTGCTCGAAAAGCGTTAAAGATACTAAAAAAAATCAAATAAAAAAAGATTCATCGAATAAAAAGATAAATCGAAGCAGTTTTTTGATCCCCGATCGGTTCAGTGGTTTCTGAATAAATTGCAAAATGCCGCGTTATCTGGCCATTTAAAAAAAAAACATAACTCGCATCCCATTGAATATTAAGACTTGAAATCCTAATAGAATATGGGTTTTATAAGCCTTAACATATGCAATGCAACCCACCCACATAAGTTGCAATGCAACCCACAGTACGATTTTTTTTATTCAAAATTAGCAGCTTTGAAATGTGGAGGAAAAGAAAAACAATCTAATAAATCCTAAAAAAATTGTATTGACAAAATGTGATTATTCTTATAATAAAATTATTATTATTTTTTGGTGATTCAATAGTGTACTATGGTCTGTATTGATTTACTCGCTAGAGTATTTTCGAAGAAGGTGTTTCGAAGAAGTGTGAAAAAAAATTGAAATAAAAATACTTTTATTATTAATTTATGGTAATTCAATGGTGCATTGATGGCTGGCATTTTTGTGCTCGCCATTGTGTTACCAGAGAAGATAGAAATACGAAAAAAAAATATTTACAAATGTTAAATATAATCATTAATTACTATTATCATAATAATAAATAAAAATCAAAAAATGGAACAGCTTCGTGCCACAGAGCTGGGAACGAATCTTACTGCGTACCGTGTTCGACTAGTCTCATTGTTTCAGGAGCTTGAACCAGCTGTCAACGTATTAGCACAACGATTGTCGGATCAAATACAAGCTGTACAGCGCTGTCACCTGCTGGATGATGTGGTACTTGAGAGGATACTTACTAACATACGGAATAGCTTGATTATCCCTTCTACGTCACACACTATGGATTTGGTAGCTAACAGCACACCTCAGTTGGTATTAAATACTGATGATGTTGATGAATTAGTGGGGAGCGAAGTTATATCCGTAAGTACCCAACACAATGATAGGATAAGGAGCGCTTTGGAGGATGCGATTTTGGAGTACCAGTATGTGAATTGCAATAATAGACCCCGGTTATCCCGTTTGCCCATTCATAAACGAAATTTAGCGCTAGTAGGTGCCCTGGATTCGTTGTTGCCTGATTATTTTACAATAGCGCAGATCTTAGTGAAACATATTCTATTCTGTACTGTGCGGCTATTGCAGTATAATTATTCGACAGAGTAACTAGTGTTAATATAGCTGAAAATGTCACTACTACTCTACCTAAATCTACTGTACCAGCTTAGTAGAATAAAATTGTACGTCGTATTGCTGAGACAAGGACACTTATCACTTATTGTGAAACAGGCATTCTTGGGGGACTCAACAGTACATGTCATGTGTCACAAAGCGCATAGACTTACATAGAAAAGCAGAAAAAATATGCATGGGCAAATAGGATAAGACGGTATAAAAAAAACGAATAGATCGATATAAGCAGAGTGGGATGTTCCAAAGAAATGAGAAGTGGGTGTACCGGAAATGGGAGGAACCGGATCCATGTGTGAGTGATGGGCATTTGAAAGATGAAAATGTCATAAACACATTTTGGCGGAACATCTGGTCGGTGTCTGTTACTCATATAAAAGGTGATTGGTTGCGGGATGCCAGACGCTCATGTAAGTCTATAATACCTATGGAACCTGTTATAATTGATAAAGATGATGTAAGCTGTGCAGTTTGTTCATTATCGAATTGAAAATCACCTGGTCCAGACGGACTGCACAACTTTTGACTTAAGTGGTGCCGAAATTCACATGCGTGTTTGGCATCTCAATTCCAGGCAGCATTGGATTGGGGTTTATTACCCCAATTTTTAACCACTGTCATAACCCACGTACGCTATAAGTCTGGTAGTGTCATGGATCCCTAAACTTTTAGACCTACCACATGTTTACCTACCATGTATAAACTTCTAACATCTATTATGAGATTCAAAATTACTTTACACATTAATAATAATTCGATCATGACAGTTTCTCAGAATGGATGTAGAAGTGGGACCCGTGGCACTAAAGAGCTTCTTATCACAGACAGGACTATTAGCCAACAGGTACATCGTAATCGTAAGTAAGAGTTTGGCGACATGTTGGATAGACTATAAGAAGGCTTATGACTCGGTTCCACATACATGGCTTTTGAAGGTGCTGGAGTTGTATAAAATTCATACAACTCTGTGTACTTTCTTGGAGTCATGTATTTGGCAATGTAGAACAGCACTTCGCTATCCAGGATGTTGGCAGATGGCGGCGATGGACTAATAAAGATCGAGCGGGGTATATTTCGAGGTGATAGTCTGAGTTCCTTGTGGTTTTGACTCGCTTGAAGCCCTCTTAGCACTTTATTAGAGGGTTCAGGGTAGGGCTAAGTTTCAGAAAGATGATCAAGTTATATCTCACCTTCTTTATGTGAATGATTTGAAACTACTAGTCCCCACCAAATTACAATTGACAGCGTTATTAAAGGTGACGGAAAACTTTAGTAATTTCGTGTAGACAAGTGTGCAGTTATGTATGTAAAGAAGGACGTGATAGTAGAATCTGAAGGAATATGGCGTTCAACAAAACTCAGATCTATGTCTGACCACTGAAACTTACAAGTATCTGGGTATATCACAGTCGTGGGAATACCAGAATTTGACATGAAACAAACGTAGCAGGAATGCCTCAGGGGGCAACAAGATGCGAGCCTGCAATGGTTAGGTCATGCCGGTTCTGATGTATTCCTCTGGTATACTTAGATCGACTCAGACCGAATTATATGCCCTTGACAGGAGAGTCCGTACACTGCTGACTGCATTCCGAATGCACCACCCACCTTCATCGCGAAAGTTTGGGGGTCGCGGACTATTAAATATCAAGACCCTACGATCTACTAATCGCGAGATATGCAATCTTAGAGAATATTTTCTACATACTGATGTGTATTTTTTTTTATCTCACGAGATTGTCGATGTGTGGAATGTGGATTCGGCCATCATTCTTCCGATAGTTGTATCTGCTCACGGATTGATAGCCAAGAGCCTCGACCAACACCTTAAGAAGCTCACGTTAGACAGCTGGATCAAGGGTCTGATGCAGAAGGCAGTTTTCCTTGACACGGCCCGTATAGTGACGAGGTTATTGGTTACTGAGGTATTGGTGAGGTTACTAACCACCGGTGTATTGGTCCCTGTACCCGATGTCGGTGGACTACTATGTTTTTATATTTTAAACTGTTTTTTTTTCTTTTTTACTACACTTAAAAATATAATTAATATGTATATATAATGTAATAAAGAGAATAATAATAATAACTGCACTCATCTCACACACGGCAGTCCGGTCTCAATCTAGGCAGAGTCTGTATTATGGTAACCGATCTGTTGTTAAACTCCGTAATATTTAGACGGATTTTCAAAATGCTATTTTTGTGTGAAAAGGGTTTATTCCGAAATGATCCCATTTAAATTTCACATAAATCTGATAATGAATTTCAAGGAAAGACAACGGAACTCAAAAAAAATTACAGCAAATTAACCGCGTTTACTGCTAGGCTCTTTGTTAGTATTATTTGAAGCCGGTTAAACTTTTTTAAGAAGGATTTTTATAACTTTTTTTATTCAAACTGAATGTAAACTGAACAGCCAACTTTCCTATCTAAGGCGATTTCTCGTGAAGGCACCCATTATTATGTAGATAAACATCATCAAATAAACATCGTATCTGTTAATACTTGGTAAGTTCAATAACTCTTATGTAATTTAAAATGCTTCAATCGATATACGTACAAAGTACAAACAATTGTGTTATCTCACACAAATGATGCTTGGTACTTGGCGTGTTATATTTACCCAAAAGTTTAAGTTTGCACCATTTACTTATTATCGTTATGGGCGGCTTTAGCAAGACACTTTGCATGGCAACCACCACGCCTAAAATTTGCAGATGACTGATGCTAACTTTGTGAAATTATGAACATTTATATTTTTAAATTTCTAAAACTAAATACGGCTCATTTGAGTTCGGTTTATACGTGTTAGTTTAGTTACTATTGTTTACTATTTTATGTAGAAATAATTTCTACTTAAATACGCGTTTTTAATTAACAGTTATCGATCGCAAACGAAATAGATGTTCCGGAGAACTAACACATATATCAAAAAAACTTACTGAGTAAATGTACGCTTTTGTCACTCTAATGGGCCTTGAAAGTAAGACAGAATGTCTCGACTACTTGTAGCTTTATCTAACTTAGACATGTAGAAAGAGAGAGTAAAATCATAATGAAAAATGGTTAGGGTATGATAGTCCTTTCCTAACAATTTCCCCATTTTTTGTTGAACACTTAACACTTAACGTTTTTAGAAACTAAGTCTCATACGATGTCTTAAATCTGCCTATTATACCCTATACATATAGAAAGTAGGTAGGTATAGTAAAATTACAGATCTTGTGACTAAAGAACTTGTAAAACAAACCTTTGTATGAAGTCTATAGCGTACACAAAGCAACTGCATATGTAGCACATAACAACACTTCGTTCAGCACAGTCGGACTAATGCCAGAAGCATTATCACTATCAAGCTGGCTGATAACCTTCTTGAAACTGAAAAACAAAACACCAAAAATATGATGTACTTATTTATATATATATATATATACATACATATATCTGGGGATGTATGAATCAGTTATAAATAAATCTAACAACCTCAATTTTCGGTGCTCAAGGCGATATTATGTATGATAGCAAACCTGTTTTTTTTTTATGGTAGTGGCGACAAACGAGCAGACGGATCACCTGATGGAAAGTGACCATCGCCGTCCATAAACATCTGCAACTCAGTAGTCACAAGCGCGTTGCCGGCCTTTGATGAAGGCGTACGCTCTTTTCTTGAAGGTGTGAAAGTCGCATCGGTCTGGGAATACCGCACACGACTTCTACCAAACTTATACCACAATTAATGGTATATTATATGAACAAAATCTATAGTACACTATTTGAAGAGATAGATAGATACAGTATCATTAATTAACGATATTTCCTAAAACACAACTTGTTAAAAATTTTAGATCTGCATACATTTTATAATGACTTGGCAATCGCACATAACAGAATATGTGTATGCATAAAAACTCTCTACTGTTATGTACAATTAAGATTGTACTATTGAAAATAGTAGATTATTCTCATGAGATTAAATTGCGCTGCTATGGCTGGGTCATTCCATGTATTAAAGAAATATAAATGGTCTAATATTGTTGCACTAACTATAAAATATTGGTAGTTAACTAAACTAAATTAAATAATATTTAGATACAACTTGTTTTCTGATAGAGTTTTGAAACTTACATTTTTGTATATTGAGTTTTTGATAGGATATAGTGACTAATCCCACCCACACGCCCACCACTGTAACTCCTGTACACCAGGATCCACAGCAGTGACCCACGAACACACCGAGTTATGACACTCGGGAAGTCCCAGGAAGAAATTAAACTGTCTTGGAACCCGCAACGAAATTAATCAGAAGAAAATTGGAGGAGTTGGAAATACAGTAAATCCATTTCCCTCCTTAGCAAAGCGGGAGACAAAATGAAGTAAAATGGGCATACACCCTTTTAAACAGGGAAGCACCACGGCCACAAATATTACGGGTCCTACGTGAGCTATGTTTGATTTCTATAATATGTATGGCAGAATCGCCTAAACGCACGGAAATTCACCCTAGTTGACACAAGATCCCCATAGTATACCGCCCCAGATGTCACCTGCAAGCTATTCAGCATTATATTACGTTCATTATACCAAAGACTACATTCCCAGAGGATATGATGAGCAGACTCTTCATAGTGAGAGTTAGGTGTTGAGCATTGACACAACGGTGACTCGACTAATTTAAATGAATAAAGCTTGCTCTTAAAGTTACCATGACCCGTAAGAAATTGAGCGACACAGTGATCCACCTCAAGCCATATCCTCGACAACCGTTCGCGAACAGACGGAAAGAATTGGTAAAGATGGCGCCCCTTGGATGATTCATCCCAGCGTTGTTGCCATTCGTCTATGAGGTCATTATAGACATCGGGCTGCTGTTGAAGCAATCTTGTAATTTTACCGCGATCCCGCGCGCCCAAAAAGTCGCATTCCATGTTTTGTTGTCTTGAATAGTACATGGCTGCACGTCTCTGCACCTCGAGATCGACCGGAAGCACACCCGCCAACACCGGCAAAGCCTCAGTGCTAACCGTCCTATATGCCTTA